ATCTTCACTTTGAACCAGCTGAATTAGGTTTCATCAAATCTTCAATTTAGCCCAGTTGAATTTATTTTCCTATAACAAATCTTCAATTTTCCTCAGTGAATTTTGTTTTACCATAAGAAATCTTCAATTCAGCCTGGCTGAATTAAGGTTTCTATAGGAAATCTTCAATTTAGCCCAGCTGAATTAGGTTTCTGTTGGGAAATTTTCAACTTAGCTTAGCTGAATTAGGTTTCCCATAGGAAATCTTCAATTTTGCCCAGCTGAATTAGGTTTACCATAACAAATCTTAAATTTTCCTTAGCTGAATTTGGTTTACCGTAAGAAATGTTCAATATAGCACAGCTTGAATTCCCATAGAAAATCTTCAATTCAGCCCGGCTGAATTAAGGTTTCCATAGGAAATCTTCAATTCAGCCCTGCTGAATTAAGGTTTAAATAGGAAATCTTCAATTCAGCCCTGCTGAATTAAGGTTTCCATAGGAAATCTTCAATTCAGCCCTGCTGAATTAAGGTTTCCATAGGAAATCTTCAATTCAGCCCTGCTGAATTAAGGTTTCCATAGGAAATCTTCAATTCAGCCCTGCTGAATTAAGGTTTCCATAGGAAATCTTCAATTCAGCCCGGGTTTCCATAGGAAATCTTCAATTCCATAGGAAATCTTCAATTCAGCCCGGCTGAATTAGGGTTTCCAAAGGAGATTTTCAATTCAGCCTGACTGAATTAAGGTTTCCAAAGGAAATTTTCAATTCAGCCCGGCTGAATAAAGGTTTCCATAGGAAATCTTCAATATAGCTCAGCTGAATTAGGTTTTCAATAGGAAATCTTCAATTTAGCCTAGCTGAATTAGATTTCCCTTTGGAAATCTTAAATTTATCCTAGCAGAATTAAGTTTCTCGTAGGGAATTTAAAATTTCGAACAGCAGAATTAGGTTTTCCATAGAAAATCTTCCATTTTCCCCAGCTGAATTAGGTTTCCAATAAGAAATCTTCAATTTAGCTCAGCTGAATTGGGTTTCCAATAAGAAATCTTCAATATAGCTCAGCTGAATTAAGGTTTCCAGGGGAAATCTGCAATTTAGCCCAGCTGAATTAGGGTTTCCATATGAAATATTAAATTTAGCCCAGCTGAATTGAGGTTTTTATACGAAATCTTCAATTCGGCCTTGCTGAATGAGGGTTTGCATAAGAAATCCGCAATTCAGCTTAGCTGAATTTGGTTTACGATAGGAAATCTTCAATCTACACCAGCTGAATTATTTATCCTTTACGAATTTTTCTATTCCGCTCAGCAAAATTGGCTTGGGTTATATTTTCTAAAACCCCCAAAACCGCAAACATTCTTTTGTGGTTGTCGAAATGATTTCCTTGCCATGAATTATCGTCGTCATCGCCAAGCAACCCAACACTGTGTGGTTTGTGTTTGATATTTTTTTCTCCTGGTTTTTTCTGGTTTCATGTTGTTTTTTTTGTCGTTGTTGTTGTTGTCGATTTTTGTGTTTAGTCAATATTTAATTTATTTAAATATTTGCTTCTATTTTCGTATATCTTTTGTGTTTTTTTTTCTTTGCTCGAACATTTATCATCATCTGCTGTGCGACTATTTCCATTGTTTACTTTTCTCGCAAGAGAGCTGTGAGGGGGGAATGTTTACCCACTCTTGTTCTCGCCAGTTGTTTTTTGTTGTTTTTGTTCTTATTTTATTTCACCTATTTAACTGGCTTCATAATTGTTGTTGTTGTTGTCGTTGTTGTTGTTTTTTTTTTCTTATGGTGTTATTGATAATTGTCGATAATTATGACTGGGGTCTTTAAAAACAAATAAACTAGAGCTGATTCGGAATGGTGGTGCCCTGGCTGGCTGGTTGGTGAATGAATGAAAAAAAAAACAACAACAAAAACAGAAATAACTATAATTAACTATTTTTTTGCTATGGGTGTTGTTGTTACGCTACTATGACTATTATTTAAGAACACCAATAACAACAACAATAATAATATGTTGAAATATTTAGTTGAATATTATTAACTGGAATTCTCCACGCCGCAGCTTTGTTGTTGTTGCCCCAGGTTCGGTTGTTGTTGCCTTTGTTTTTTTTTTTGTTCACAGCCATTGCTAATTGAGGTTAATGTGTAGGGTAATCGAGAGCTTGATTTGTTACTAATTTTATTTTTTGAAAAATTATACCCCCAGTTTGTTGTTGTTGGTATTTAATTGTTCTTCTCGTTGTTGTTGTTCTTGTCATTCAAATTTTTTTAATTAATGGTCTATTGAAATGTTTTGTTTTATTTTTTTTTTTGAATCTCTGTATAATTGATTAATATTTGAAGACATTGACCCGGGGAGCCGAGTTGAAAGCCCAGCTGAATTAGGTTTTCATAAGAAAATCTGCAATTTAGTCCAGCTGAATTTGGTTTTCCATGGGAAATATGCAATTTTGACCAGCTGAATTACGTTTTCCTTCAAAAATCTGCAATTCAGCTCAGCTGAATTATATTTTTATTAGGAAATCTGAAATTCAGCTGAGTTTTAATTAAGGTTCCACATCAAAAATTGGCTATTCAGCTCAGCTGAATTAGATTTCTCTTCAGAAATCTGCAATTCAGCTCAGCTGAATTGGGGTTTCCTTAAGAAATCAACAATTCCTCTTAGCTGAATTAGGTTTCCCTTCTGAAATCTGCAATTCAGCTCGGCTGAATGGGGTTCCTTTTCAAAAATTTCCAATTTATTTCAGCTAAATTAGGGTTTCCTTCAGAAATCTGCAATTCAGCTCAGCTGAATTAAGTTTTTATTACAATATCTGCAATTTAGTTCGACTTAAATAAGTTTCCATTAAGAAAAATGGAATTCAGCCCAGCTGAATAAGATTCTTTCGAAGGAAATATGCAATTTAACCCAGCTGAATTAGGTCTCCTATCAGAAATCTTCAAGTTAGTCCGGTTAATTTATGTTACTATTATGTATGCTGCAATTTTACCCAGCTGAATTAGGTTTTCATGAAGAAATCTGGAATTCTACACAGCTGAATTAGGCTTTCATAAAAAAATTGCAATTCAGCCCAGCTGAATTACGTTTCTTGTAGGAAATATTAAATTCTACTCAGCTGAATTAGGTTTCCATTACTAAATCTGCAATTCCGCTCTGTTGAATTAGATTTCTATTGCGAAATCTATAATTTTTATTAGTAAATCTGCTATTCAGCCATGCTGAATTAGGTTTTCATTGCAAAATCAGCAATTCCGCGTAGCTGCATTAGGTTTTCACTGCAAAATCTGCATTACCGCTTAGCTGAATTAGGCTTTCAATGCGAAATCTGAAATTCCTCCCAGTCGGAAAGGGTTTCCTATTGAAAATCTTCAATTCATGACTTCTGAATTGGGATTTCTATGCGAAATCTTGAATTTTGCCCAGCTGAATAAGGTTCATCTTCGGAAATCTTCGATTTGACACAGCTGAATAAGGTTTACGATAGGAAATCTTCAATTCAGCTTGCCTGAATGGGGGTATTGATTAGTAAATCTGCTATTCAGCCCTGCTGAATTAGATTTCCCTTGTGAAATATGCAATTCTGCTCAGCTGAATTAAATTTCCTTTGCCAAATCTTCAAGTCAGCTCACCTAAAAAGGGTTTCCTATTGGAAATCTTCAATTCATGACTGCTGAATTGGGATTTCTATGCGAAAACTTGAAATTTGCTTAGCTGAATAAGGTTTTTCTTCGAAAATTTTCAATTTGAGACAGCTGAATAAGGTTTACGATAGAAAATCTTCAATTCAGCTTGCCTTATCGGGGAAATTTTTTACTAAATCCGCAATTCAGCACAGTTGAATTAGTGAAATCTGTAATTTAGTCTTGCTGAATTAGGTTTCCATTGCGTAAACTAAAATTCCGCTCAGCTGAATTAGGTTTCCATTGCGTAAACTGAAATTCTGCTCAGCTGAATTAGATTTTCACTGCGAAATTTTCAATTTCGTTCAGCTAAATTAGCTTTCCATTGCGAAATTTGCAATTCTGCCCAGCTGAATAAGGTTTTCAGTGTTAAATTTTGAATTCTGCCCTGCTGAATTAGGTTCCCCTTCGGAAATCTTCATTTCTGCTTGCTAAATGTGATTTTTATGAGCTAGATTTCAATTCAGCTCGGCTGCATGTGATTCTTATTGGGAAATGTCCAATTTAGGTCCTCTTAATTAATTTCCTTTGAGGAAATCTTCAATTCAGCATGGCTGAATTGGGGTTTATTGAGATTTTTTCAATTGCGAATTGATTTTTCGTTGGTAATTTTGCAATTCAGTTGTGCTGAATTACATTTTTTTACTAAAAATTGAAGTTTTTTTTTTCGATTTTGGTAAAAAACAAATGTTTGTTGAATATTTTACAACATGTTTTTTTTTCTTTTTCCTATTTTCCTCAGTCTTATCTCAAAATTTATTTCCAAATCATGACGTTCCACTGTCACGATACTACTCCACATCCTCTCCTCCTCCACCTCTCGGTAAACATTTCCAACTAATCTAAGAATGGCCACTTAAATGGGCTTAACGCCTCAGTAGTGATATTGTTGTTGGCCTTTTTTTATTAGTCCCCGATACTTGTGTTCCATAAACACCCCATATTAAGAGCTTATTTCAAAATGTGAAATTATAGATAATAGTTTTTTTTTTTGACAACCATCTCCAAGCATGTCTCGTTTTGTTTACTCAAGTACTTGTCATATTAAAAGAAGGAAAACAAAGATAGGTAACGGTGATAATAATCTGAGTAAATATTTTGATAAGCTGACAGTCACTGGCTGCGATTAAGGCTTGGGATCATGAAGTGATGGTGATGATGACTGCGGGGAGGGGGTGGTGGTAGGTAGGTGCTTTCGCCTCTTCTTTACATTTATATTTGTTTACAAAATAAATAACAACTTAAATAAAACTATTTTAATTATTTATTTAAAAAACACGTTCTCATATTTATTTTTTTCTTCTTCTTCCCCTTTCTTCCCCCTCCCCTTTTTAGACATGTGAAAGTTATTCAAATCACTCATCCAGCCAACAGCCAAGGGATTTGAAAAATTTGCGTAACAATGATTCACGGCCAACAACGCCAAATACCCAGCAACAGCAACAACAATCACAACAATATCAATCATCGGTGACAGCCTCACCTGGCCAGCCGCAACAACAACAGCAACAACTGGAAAACGGTCATGGCCAATATCCGTAAGTTTGGAATTTATTTTTCGCCCGACATTTTATTAACAAATTTTTCTTCTTCCCCTCCCCTCCAGCTGTTACATTTGCAAAACCCTTTGCCCCTCCAACAAAATGGAATGGTTGTCCACCAGTGCTGAGCACATGAATTCGCATGCAATGCATTTTCCCTGTCTTAAAGGCAACCAAACGGCCAGCAATTCCAATTCCAACTCCAGCAGTGGGCGGGATAGTAATTTGAATGCCAACAGCAGCGGGTCTGCTTTAAATAATGACCCAAATGGTAATCGGGTATTGGCCTGTAAGGATTGTGTCAATAATTTGGCACGCCAGTGGGAGTCAATGGATGCCGAAAGGGTGCCATTGGAGCGCAGGAGGTAATTACCAATTCAATCGATTTTTTATTTAGAAAAAATCTAATATTTCTTCTCTTCTTCCCCAGATATGTCATTCCATCTCCGGTCATAAATGCCACCTCACCAAATGGTTCCCGCCATGGTGGGGCCGGTGGTGGCGTTTTAAGTATTAATACCCCGCCCTCAACACCCTCAATGTCCTCGACCCCAGCCACCACATCCATTTATTGTTTTTTGTGTGGCCTACATTCGGATTTGACATTGGCCCGGGTTTTATATGCCAGCAAGGAGGTAAGGGAGATTTTTTATTTAAAGTTTCTTAATATTAATTTTTTGTTATTTTTCCTTTTCTCATCTAGGGTTCCCGACCATATTTCCCATTTCTGCTGAAACACAATTCCCTACCGAATGCTGAACAATTGCGTCCCGACTATTCAGCCTATGTGTGCACATTTTGTTATCATTCGCTATTGAAACAATGGAGAAAGTAAGTGAAACAGGATGAGGGAATGGAGAATTTGGGAGTTTTATCAGTCCTTAGTTTTACGAGAAAGTTGGGAGTCCTTAGTTTTATCAGTCCTTAGTTTTTCGAGAAAGTCGGAACTAGGTCCAATCTCATCCTCTATAAAGAAACCCTTGGGTTTTGTAGGAAATTACTTTTGGTCTTCTATAATAGGTCCTATTGAGCTTCTATAAGACCCATGGGCATTCTATAAGCAGATTTATCGGTTTTCTATAAGCAGACCTATCGGTCATCTATAAGCAGACCTATCGGTCTTCTATAAGCTGGCATATTGGCCTTCTAAAAGCAGACATATTGATCCTCTATAAGCAGTCATTTTGGTCCTTAATGAGACCAACTTTTGGTCTTCTATAATCAGCTCTTTCATAGGCAGTCCTTTCAGTCCTTTATGGGACCACCTTTTGGTCTTCTATAAATAGACCTATTTATCTTCTGCAAATAGACCTATTGGACTTCTATAAGCAGCCCTCTTTTTTCTCGTATGAGACGTCCTTTTGTTCTTCTATAATCAGGTTTTCCTTAAGCAGTCCTTTCGGTCGATTATGAGACCACATTTTGATCTTCTATAATCAGACCTATTTATTTTCTATAAGTACACCTATTGGACTTCTATAAATAGATAATTTTTCAAGTATGAGACGACCTTTTGATCCTCTCTAATCCAGTCTTTCAAAAGCAGTCCTTTCGGTCCTTTATGGGACCACCTTTTGGTCTTCTATAATCAGACCTATTTATCTTCTGTAAGTAGACATATTGGACTTTTATAAGCAGGTCTCTTTTTCTTGTATGAGACGACCTTTTGGGCTTCTATAATCAGGTGTTCCATAAGCAGTCCTTTTAGTCCTTAATAAGACCGCTTTTTGGACTTCTTTAATCAGACCTTTTTATCTTCTGCAAGTAGACCTATTGGTATTCTATAAGAATTTTCTTCTTCCATGAGACGACCTTTTGGTCTTCCAAGAAACGATTTATTGGTCTGACCTGTTGGTCTTCCTTAAGCAGTTCTTTCGGTCCTTTCTGAGACTTTTTTTGGCTCTCTAAAAGCAGACCTGTTGGACTTCCGTAATCAGTCCTTTAGGTCTTCTATAATCCATAATCAGTCCTTTAGGTCTTCTATAATCCATATAGCAGACCTATAAGCAGACCTATTTATCTTCCGTAAGTAGACCTATTGGTCTTCTATAAGCAAACCTTTTGGTCTCCCATGAGACGACTTATTGATCTTCCTTAAGCAGATCTACTGGCCTTCCTTAAGCAGTAATTTCGGTCTTTTATGAGACCACCTTTTGGGCTTCTATAATCAGGTCCTATAGGACTTCTACAGACAGACCTGTTAGACTTTTATAAACAGGCTTTTTGGTCTTCTTGAGACAAAAGGAGGAATTAGAAGGTCTTATTAGATAGTTTTTTGGTCGGTCCGTTAGAAGACCTATTTGGTCCTCTAAGTATGGAAGACCATAGGTCAGGGGATGCGACTTTATTCAGTCTCTAGTTTCACGAGACGAAGTCGCCAACACTACCTTGGAGTCTATGTGGAGCTATGGTTTGACAATCAATTGGAAGATCTATTGGTCTTCAATAAGGAGTCCCATTGGTCGTGTATATAAAAAAAACCTCTACTGGTATTCTATTAGGAGACAAGCGGGTCTTCTATAAGAGCAATGTCATCTGACCTTATTTAGAATACTAACTGGTCTTTTATAAGAATAATTTCTAGACTTCTATTGGAAGAGTTTCTAACCTTCCTTAAAAAATATATTTTATCTTCGATTAAAATACTTTCTGGTCTTTTAAGATAGAAACCCTCGACGACCTTTTAAGAAAGAATTACTAGAATAGCTTCTAGCCTAGGTTATGTTAGAAATACAGATTTTTAAAAGAACAATATCATCGGACTTTCTTTTGAATACCAGCTGGATTCTTTGGTCTTCTATAAGAATAGCTTATGGTCTTCTATCAAAAAAACTTCTAGTCTTCTATTAACAGGTCTCCAAACGCCTATTACAATTTCTTTTGGTATTCTAGCATTAGAAGAACTTTTTGTCGTCTAACAGAAGATCTTCTGAATATCTAGTCTTCAACTAAATCATCTCAGAAAATCGTCTTCTATAAGGAGATAATTTGGATTTTTATTAGAATTTCTTTGAGGTCTTCCATCAAAAAACCTTCTGATCTTCTCTACGACCTTTTGGCGTTCCAAGAAAGAAACCCTAGACCTCTTGATCTTCTAGGAATAGTTTCTAGGCTTTCTGAAGACCTTTTGCCCATCTGTTTGAAGATAATTTTAGACTTCTATCAGAAAAAAAATATTCTTCAATCAGAAGATAATTAGGTCTTTTATTAAAGGACCTTCTGTATGTCTCTGAGAAGACCTCGTATCATTCTAGGAATGATCATCTAGGTCACTTTTAGCATTATTTTATCGTCTATATTCGGAATTTTTAAGGGTTCTCATTGGACAGAAAATCTCTCCACTGAAAATAATCAATATTGGTTCATTTTTAGGGTAGCTCCCACATAAAACTTAACCTCTAAAATTTCAGTACTATTGGGAAATTGGGGCCGGGTTTTTAATCAAATTGGCTGTAATTTTATATTTGGCATTTTCATTGGATGGTTACTTTAGGTACCAAATATCAGTATTGCTTCACTTTTTATTGTAGGTCCCATATAACTTAACCTCCAAAATTTCGGTATGTATTTTAGGGAGCTTGGGCCGGTTTTTTAGCCGATTTGGTTGTAATTTGATATTTTGGGTTCTTCATGGGTGGCAAATTTTCCTATCAAAAATTATGAACATTGGTCTACTTTTAAGTGGATACCCCCTTAGAACGTTACCCACGATTTTCTTTATTTTGGAGATTTTCGATAGGGCTTTTAACCGATTTGGCTGTAATTTGGTATTTTGGGTTCTTAGTGCGTGGCACATTTTCATACCAAAAATTTTTAATATTGGCCCACTTTTTAGGGTAGCTCTCATATAACTGTAGATCCTAATTTTCGATATTTTGTGGATTTTGGATAGAGATTTTAACCGAAGTGACTGTAATTGAGTGTTTTGGGTTCTCACTGGATAGTAAATCATCCTACCAACAATTATCAATATTGGCCCACTTTTTAGGGTAGCGCCCATATAACTGTACCCCTTAATTTTCGATGTTTTGGGTACTTTGAATAGGGATTTTAACCGAATTGCCTGTAATTGGGTATTTTGGGTTCTCACTTCCTACCAAAAATTAACAATATTGGTCCACCTTTTATGGTAGCTCCAATATAACTGCACCCTTAATTTTCGATATTTTGGGAAGGTTGGATAGGTTTTTTAACCAAATTGGTTGTAGCATGATATTTTGTATGGCCGGTACCTTGTCCCATTTTGGATAGTTTTAATGATTTTAGCCGCATCTTCCCCCCTTAGAAGGTTTATAAGGAGAAGGTTTTTCCAACCGATGTGACGAAATTTATGTAGGGTTCCATCAAGTTAAAGGATTTTGAATGACCACACCTCATGGTGTAGGGTATAAACTTCTAGCAGAATTACGGATACTTTTCTTTTTGAGGGTATGAAGGTACTTGCACAATTTTTTGAGGTTATAATGGTCCTATAAGAATTTTTGTGAATTTATAGAGAGTATAAAGGTCCTAGATGAATTTTTGAGACTATTTGGTATTTCGTTTTGAACAGTAGGTTGGTGGAGGCACTTGCAGAATGTTTGAGAATTTTTTTTTTGAGGTTATAATGCTCCTATATGAAATTATCTGAATTTTTAGAGGGCATAAAGTCCTTAGCAGAATTTTTTGTATTTTGTTTTGACAAGATGGTAGGGTGGTGGAGGTTATAATGGTCATAGCAGATTTTTTTTTGATGGTATAAAGGTCCTAGCTTAATTTTTTAGAATTATTGGTAATTTGTTTTGCCTAGTAGGATGCTGGCGGTTATAATGGTCATACCAGATTTTTTTTTTTTGAGGTTATAATGTCTCTAGCCGATTTATTCTAAATAGTTGGTATTTTATTTTCAAAGTATGTTGCCATCGATTTCAAATATTTTGAATAGGCCACATCATGGTGGAAGTTTGGTATCCGAAGTTTGGTTTTTTTGTTTTTTTTTTTTAATTTTAAGTCTCTAATTTCTAATTTATTTATTTTTTCTTTCTTTCCACCCAGATATGAATCCCAAAATCCCTCTATAAATCCCGTCGATCGTGAATATAATTGGCATGATTATATTTGTCATTTGTGTAATATAACCACATATCGGAAAAGGGTGCGAGCATTACCCGTCAATGAATTTCCATTTGTGCGGAATCGTAAAAGTGAAGATGGCCTGCTGCTGGAGAATGGTGAATACGCCGTGGTGTGTTTGGATTGTTATGAGAGCTTGAGGTGAGATACATTATTTTTATAAAAAAAAAATATGTTAAACTAATTTCGTCTCTTTCTCTCTTTCCAGGCAACAAGCCTCTCAGCATGATCGTTTTGGTGTGCCGATATCAAAACGCGCTTACAATTGGGTACCCCAGCCACCACCACCGGAGGACAGTCCCGATGCGGCTGTGGCCCGTTTACCATGCGGTGAACGTTCGGATAGAGTTGTAAGTTTTCGTAGCTGGATTTCCCCCCATTCTTTCTTTTCTTGTTTTTTCTGTTTCATCTTCTTCTTCTTCTTCTTTTTGGTGTCGTTAAGTGGTGTCTTGAACTTTGTTTTATGGTTTTATGTTTCTGTTTTTCTAAAAACAATTAACACACATTCTTATTAGCCGCCTTCTTCTTCTCCTTTTGCTAATATTTATTTTTTTCTCTTGTGTGTGTTTTTTTGCGGTTTAGCCAATTAACAATGCCCTGAGACCAGTTGCCTCCAACAAAAAGAGCAGTTCACCCAAACTATATGACAAGTCTTCTAGAGAAGGTAAGTGCCCCAAACATGTATTAAATTTCTACTACAAACAGAACAGAACAGAATATTTATTTTTTCTAAAAAAATGTTTAATAGCCCCTCCAAGTAGTAGCAGCAACCTTAAGCTGTTTACAAAAAATAAAATAAGAAAACATGACCAAAGCCCTACCTCTCGGGGGGAGGAGGTCTCTAAGACTAAAATATACCACCAATTGGCTTCAGCACTTAACATACGACCATCGAAGCCATGTTTGGCCAAGTTGATGTGTTAATGCTATTGATTTGATATTCTATTCTACATCGTTGTAACAAATCCTAGCCAGTAGACTGGCCGAATGTACGTCCGTCTAACTGTCTGTCGTTCTGTTCGGTTCGATTAGTTTCACTTCTCAATTGGTAATGTGAGAAAATACACAAAATATAATGCCGAACATTACAAAGCTTTCAGTTAAATCGGCTTATATTGATTACAGCAAATATAATGGGGGGGACTAAACAAATATAAGCTTATGTTTGGCAGTTGTTGTTGCTGCTACTGTTGTGGCTACACTTCGACTGTTGTAGCTGCTGATGTCTTGCAGCAGTGATGATGAGGATGATGATTAGGTGGTGTGGGTGAAGGAGGGGGCGGGCTTTATTTTTAATTCAGCAAATGTACAAATACAAAGGTGTTTATATATAGGGTGGCATATATATTTTTGGTATTATAGGCAACTTCTGGTCTATTTATGTTAAAAAGTTCGGGGGTATTGAAATTTTATTCTTTATTGGGGTAAATAAATTGATCGGAAAAGTACAGTAATTTTTTTAACCGAATTGACTGTAATTTGGTATTTTAGATTGTAATTGGGTAGAAAATCTTCCAACTAAAAATTATCAATATTGGTTCATTTTTTTGGGTAGCTCTCATATTACCATACCTCCCAATATTCGGATTTTTGGGTAATTTTGACATGGTTTTCAAACGAATTGATTGTATATTTCTATTTTGTATTCTTATTAGGTGGCAAATCTTTTTACGGAAAATTATCGATATTGATCCAATTTTCAGAGTAGCTCCCATACAACCTAACCTCAAAATTTTCGATTTTGTGAGGAGCTTGAGCTTGTTTTTCAACCGAATTGGCTGGAATTTGGTATTTTGGGATGACATTGGGTAATAAATCATCCTGCCAAAAATTATCAATATTGGACCACTTTTTAGGGTAGCTCCCATATAACGTAACCTCCAAAATTTCTGTAATAGCGGGAGCTTGGGCAAGTTTTTCAACCGAATTGGCTGCAATTTGGTATTTGTGGTTGTTATTGGGTGACAATTCTTCCCAACAAAAATTGTTTATATTGGTTAATTTGTTGGGGTAGCTCCCATATAACATAACCTCCAAAATTTCGGTATTATGAGAATATTGGCCTCATTTTTTAACCGATTTGGCTGGAATTTGGTATTTTGGGTTCTCATTGGGTGGCAAATCTTCCTACTAAAAATTATCAATATTGGTCGACTTTTTAGAATAGCTCCCATATAACTTAACCTCCAAATTTTCGGTTTTGTGAGGAGCTTGGGCTCGTTTTTCAACCGAATTTTGTGATTCTCATTGTGTAGCAAGTCTACCTACCAAAAATTATCATTATTGGCCCATTTTTTAGGGCAGCTCCTATACAACCTAACCTCAAAAATTTCAATTTTGTGAGGAGCTTGGGCTCATTTTTTAACCTATTTGGATGTAAATTGGTATTTTGTTGTTGTCATTGGGTAGCAAATCTTCCTGCCAACAGTTATCAATATTGAACGACTTTTTAGAATAGCTCCCATATAACTTAACCTCCAAATTTTCGGTATTTTGGGGAGCTTGGGCAAGATTTTCAATCGAATTGTCTGGAATTTGGTATTTGTGGTTGTCATTGGGTAACAAAACTTCCTACCAAAATTTTTTTATATTGGTTAATTTTTTGGGGTAGCTCCCATATAACATAACCTCAAAAAATGTGGATATTTTAAGGAGCTTGAGCTCATTTTTCAACGGTTTTGGCTGGAATTTGGTATTTTGGGTTCTCATTGTGTGAAAAATCTTTGTACCTTAAATTATTAATATTGGTCCACTGTTTAGGGTAGCTCCCATATAACATAACCTCAAAAATTTTGATATTTTGCCGAGCTCGTTTTTCAGCCGATTTGGTTGAAATTTGGTATTTTGGTTTGTCATTTCTTAGTAATTTCACTTCTGAAAATTACCAATATAAGTCCACTTTTTAGGGTAGCCCCCATATAAGGGCACCTCCCAAATTTCAGTATTTTTGAGATTTTGGGCGCTTTTGTCAACAGAATTGGCTGTAATTTATCATTATGGGTTCTCATCTTCCTACAAAAATTATGAAATTTCATCTACTTTTAAACCCTTAAAAGTAGATCAAATTTCATATAACGGTACCTCCGATTTTCGGTATTTTGGGGAGCTTGGGGCAGTTTTTCAGCCGAATTGGCTGTAATTTGGTATTTTGGGTTCTCATTAGGTGTAAAATCTTCCTACGAAAAATTATGAAATTTGATATACTTTTAAGGGTAGTCCCCATGTAACGGTACCTCCGATTTTCGGTATTTTAGGGAGCTTGGGCGCGTTTTTAATCCGAATTCACTGTAATTTGGTGTTTTGGTTTATCATTGGGTGGCAACTTTTACTACCAAAAATTATGAACATTGGTCTACTTTTAAGGGTAGTCCCCATATAACGGTACTTCCGATTTTCGATATTTTGGGGAGTTTGGATAGATTTTTCAACCGAATTGCCTATAATTTTGTATTTTGGGTTCTCATAGGGTAGCAAATCTACATACCAAAAATTGTCAATATTGGTTAACTTTTTCGGGTATCCCCAATATAAAAGTCCCGCCCCATTTTCAATATTTTGGTGAGTTTGGATAGATTTTTCAACCAAGTTAACAGTAATTTGAAATTTTAGGCTCTCATTATGTTTACTATCTTCCTACTTAAAATTAGCGACATAGGTCCCTGTTCTATGGTACCCCTCATATAACGGTACAGTCTCATTTTCTGCATTTTTAAAGGTTTAGCCGCGTTTTCCAAACGAAGTGGTTGTCATTTGACGTTCCAGGTTTTCGGAGGGTGCTAGATATTTTTGCAGAACATTTCCGATATAGGTACATGCTCTGGCATAGCCTTCATATAAAGGTCCCGTCCCAAGTTAGATATTTTGATTGTCATGGGAACATTTTCCCACAGAAGTGGTCCGAAAATGGCATTGCGGCTTCTTGGAGGTTAAAAACCATAATCGAAAAAATTAGGGTCCTCAAAAAAAGAGAAAAAATTCACTCTTCCGTATTTTAAGTTTTTTTTTTTTAATCCTGGTCCTTGGTGATTGGAAAAAAAATATTTTTTTTTAATTCCACGAAATCTTGGGGTTCAGAAAATATATCCTTTAAACAATTTACGCCTTTTCTAGGTCATAAGAAAATATATTCTTTAAGAATCGACGAGTTCTTCTGAAAAATACTCATTAAGAAATCCACGCCTTTTTTAAGTCCTCAAAAAAAAAAATATCTGGATGTTCAGAAAATATATAGCCTCTGAAAAATATTCTTTAAAAAATCAACGCCTTCTGGACGTTCAGAAAAAAATATAGGCCTCTGAAAATATTCTTTAAAAAATCCACGCCTTATAAAGGCCTCTGAAAAATATTCTTTAAAAAATCCACGCCTTCTGGATGTTCAGAAAAAATATAGGCCTCTGAAAAATATTCTTTAAAAAATCCACGCCTTCTGGATGTTCAGAAAAAATATAGGCCTCTGAAAAATATTCTTTAAAAAATCCACGCCTTCTGGATGTTCAGAAAAAATATAGGCCTCTGAAAAATATTCTTTAAAAAATCCACGCCTTCTGGATGTTCAGAAAAAATATAGGCCTCTGAAAAATATTCTTTAAAAAATCCACGCCTTCTGGATGTTCAGAAAAAATATAGGCCTCTGAAAAATATTCTTTAAAAAATCCACGCCTTCTGGATGTTCTTTAAAAAAATATAGGCCTCTGAAAAATATTCTTTAAAAAATCCACGCCTTCTGGATGTTCAGAAAAAATATAGGCCTCTGAAAAATATTCTTTAAAAAATCCACGCCTTCTGGATGTTCAGAAAAAATATAGGCCTCTGAAAAATATTCTTTAAAAAATCCACGCCTTATAAAGGCCTCTGAAAAATATTCTTTAAAAAATCCACGCCTTATAAAGGCCTCTGAAAAATATTCTTTAAAAAATCCACGCCTTATAAAGGCCTCTGAAAAATATTCTTTAAAAAATCCACGCCTTATAAAGGCCTCTGAAAAATATTCTTTAAAAAATCCACGCCTTATAAAGGCCTCTGAAAAATATTCTTTAAAAAATCCACGCCTTATATGGGTCTCTGAAAAATATTCTTTAAAAAATCCACGCCTTATATGGGTCTCTGAAAAATATTCTTTAAAAAATCCACGCCTTATATGGGTCTCTGAAAAATATTCTTTAAAAAATCCACGCCTTATAAAGGCCTCTGAAAAATATTCTTTAAAAAATCCACGCCTTATAAAGGCCTCTGAAAAATATTCTTTAAAAAATCCACGCCTTATAAAGGCCTCTGAAAAATATTCTTTAAAAAATCCACGCCTTTTGTAGGCTTCTGAAAAATATTCTTTATAAAATCCATGCCTTATATAGGCCTCTGAAAAATATTCTTTAAAAAAATCCACGCCTTATAAAGGCCTCTGAAAAATATTTTTTAAAATCCGCGCCTACATCGATACTCATCTGAGCTTCTTCATCTTTCACCTTTAGATTCTCATATTTGTTTTTACAAAAAAAATTCCCTCAAATTACCCAAATCCTCTTAAAGTCTTAAAGTTCGAAACATTTATGTTTTCGTTTTTCTTCTTCTTTTTCCTCCTCCACTTCGACTTTTTTTCTGGCTTATTATAATTAATGTCTGTTGTTGTTTTTTTTTCTTCTTTACTGTTTATTATTCTCCCCTCTTGTTGTATTCATCCTACC